TGCACCGCCACACCCCCTCCCGCCCCCAAAAAATTTGAGCCGGCCGCGTTGGGTTCCAGTGGCTGAACGCACTGGAAAGCGCTCCTGATGGTGTGACAGGGCCCTGAGTCCTGAAGCCACCAGCTGCGGTGCAGCACTAAACCTAGGCGCTGAGCTTGTTACAATCTTGGGCTTCATATCCTGCTACAGAGAGCCCCATTAGAAGTATTGTATTTAAAGAAGGAATGCTATGATTTCGCTGTCGCTTCCTATTCCTCCAGCATATACCAGTGTATACAAGCTCTGCCCTGACTCCCCCTGCAGCAACTTATCACTACAATAGTGACCTATTCTATGTTTACAAGATCACTGTTAAAACTGATCTGTTGCTGCAGAGGTGCCTGGGGGAGGGTGTGTATGGCTGGGATAAATAAATAAAAATTAGGTGAAAAAAAATGCTAATAGAATAAACACGACTAAAGCTATTGTGCAGCCCTCTGGGAATATCAAGGATCACACTTGAGGCCCTCCACATTTACAAAGCTGACCACCACAGCTGTATTACTTCAGCAGTAAGAGTAAACCTGGTCATACACCTATAGATTATCTGCAGAATGTCTATGGTCAGATGGAAAAAGGGCAACAGATTCCTCCATCTACGCTAATATGTGTGGATGGAGGAATCTCCCACTGGGCCAAGTGTCGGCTTTCAAAATACCTGAACAATCTAATTGGATGCAGTTAGAGAGCCAGGGGGGGATGAGCAAGATACTGAAGGCCAAGCTTCAGTATCTCGCTAGTCGGCCCTGCAGGCTGTCAAAATACCTGAACAATCTGATTGGATGCAGGCATTGTTCAGGTATTTTGACAGCCAGTGGGGCCGACTAGCAAGATACTGAAGCTTGGCCCAGTAACATGGGCTTCAGCTTGTACAAAAGCAGTGTGTACTGGAAGCTTTTGGAAAGTGTTTCAAAAGCTTTTGGCAAGTATTCAGCAGCTTTGTTAAAGCCTTCAAAGCTTCCTTTGGCTCCAGTTTGGGGATGTTAAAACAAAATTGTAGCCTTTTAAACATTGCTGTCAGGAAAGCTTTTGTTACAAAAAAAGTCTCTTCTGCAATAAAAAAAAGTTCTTCTGTCTGCCAGCAATGCCTCTTTTGACTATACACTGAGCTGTGCATGTACACCTTGGTATACCTTGGTGGCAGCATAAAATCCCATGCTCATGAGTCGAGTTATACAATTTCAGGCCTATCAATATGGCTGATGACACCATTATGGTCTCATCCTACTCAGTCAGTCAACAAGAATTGGTATCTCAGCTTCACAAGGTTTCCGTCAGTGTCAAGATCACAAACGGCCATCTAATACCTTTTAGGGACTCCTATGGCTATTTATATGCCAATCAGAATCCCCAGTTCTGTTCTCCATTTGACAGCCAAACTATACAGACATGATCCCCCCTCATATGAAGAATAAAATAATTGTCTAGCTAAAAGAACCCTTTACAGCATTGCGGGTGAGCACACACACCTTATTGGAGGAAAATGTTCACTATTAGAGTCTCAGAGATAAAAAGATGGTCAATTTACCTTATTAGTATTCATCTAAAACCAAAATATTTGTGTTGGGAGGCCTTGCCCTTTATTACAACTCACTTGAAGCGGACCTTGCACCTAAATTGCAAAGTCTGCTTTTCTAGCTTGGCCATCCTATTGCAAAAAATGTAAAAGAAAAAACCCAACACCTATGGGGGGTTAGATAATGTACTTTCCTTTCCCCTGCATCTGCATTGCTAAGCAAAGGTGAGATCATCCTCCTTCTGGTGAGATCCTGTAGAAGGCAGAGTAGCCCAGGTCTCAAGAGAAGTTGATCCTGCACTGTGCTGCAGAATTTTCTTATGAGATTTAACCCTCATTCACACCTACTATGTAGGTGCATTTAGGGATTCCTGCATCAGGAAATTCTGATTTCCTGCAAAAGGAATCCCAAAAATGCCATCTACAAGCGGTAGCTGTCACCCGTTCAAGTTAATGATCGGGTGACAGCAGCCGCACGTGGTTAGGAAGCAATCACTATCTCTGGATGCACAAGCGATGCATCCAAGTATATGGACTGATTCCTTACTGCATGTAATTGCTTCACATACAATTGCATGCGGTGTGCCAGCATTCAGCAGGTGTTTTATTAACGTGTTATGTGGCATTTCAGCAGGAGGGAAGACGCTAGAAAGGTGGATTTTTCATGGAGTGCAAGGTCCGCTTTCAATATATAAGCAAGTATGTGAAAGTCTACTTAGTTGACAAAATTCTAGTGTTTAAGAAAAGTGTATTGCTGGTTTATTGGTGAGGAATTAATCGAGTATATATAAAAATGAAAACATGACCTACCGCTGCTTCCTCCTCTTCTTCTTTGTTCGGCCCCCCATCACTACCATCTGCCTCCCCTTCTTCTTCGTCGCTGCTGGAAGATTCCAGAATTTCACTCATGTCCATTTTCCAGCTGTCTGGGACCGCTCGTGACTTCAGGAAAGTTAATGCTTCCTTTAAACCTGAAGAAACAAAAAATTGTGTGTTTTTTTTCCCTTCAGTCTACTTGGTTCTGGTCTTGGCATCAGCGTGCTATTCAAATACTTAGTGGCACTAGGACTCTGCAGAAACTGAACCTGCCAGGTACTAAAAACAAGTGTCTAGACAGAGGACCTACACATCTGCCCTTGGTGGTGCCAAACCTTAGCTCACCCATCTCAAAGTCAAATGCTGGAGGCTCCAATTTAAAAATATATATCTCAAATCCAGGGGCTCCAGGGAACTGAGAAATTGATTTTACCATTCTTGCAGTTTTGCAGCATTTTTAGCTTAGTCACTTTTAAGAAAAGCTGTGGAGCTGTGGTGGTTAAATGCTGTATGTTTACTGTTCTTGCTCTATTTGCAAGCTTATTTTCCTGCCATGATGACAATGGGCTCCAGCTATGTGTGCTATTCATTCTCATTTACAACCCAAAGCCAGTGCTATGCCCAATTCACAATGTGATCATCTAATCAAAGAACTGTCCTCTCCAACATGTCCATTCCAGACCACAGAGGTGAACACATTACTGTCTGCATTAAAACATCCATAGTCTCTCTAATGGCTTAAAGTAATCAGTCGCATAATCTGAAGCAGCTACCTGGTTAAGCAGCAAAATATCTCCAACACCACAGAATAAGCCCAGTGGAACAGAACTACTGCTATAGATACCATGACTTGGATGAAAGAGAAACCTCACAGGACATTCTCCCTAATGCATTCTAAACACATGCAGTCACCAACACAGACTCTCATGAGAGAATAATGCAGACTCCTTTTGAGAATAGTTTCCTGGCTATCATGCTGATTCTCTGGCTTTAATGCAGTCCAAAGTGATCCAAAGGTATATATGACCTAAAAGTGACCTGAAACAGCCAGGCAACTAGCATGTTCAGAAGGAGGCCACAAATGGCAGCCACCCATACATCACTCATGAGAGAAGTGCTTTAATGTTCCTCAAAGTGATGCACCCAGCTGTGCATCAACATGGAGAACAAACCACATGTTTTCTACTTGCAACTGTAAACTTCCATCCTAAGCCCTAGCGGAGCAGATGTTGAACTCATCCCACATTTTAGGAAAGCGGGTGGCATGGAATATTTTTGGATAACGCAGTTGCTTTACAATGATTCGGTCTGCTGTTAAACGCCCATCACAGTCTATATTTCTAAAGGGCTACAAGCCGAAGTAGGCACCTGATATTAAGACTGTGGTTGGAACATTAGACTAAGCTTATTCACGAGTATGGACTGATGTAGAAGAGATATGTGGGCACACAAAAGGTAAACAAAGGCAATAAATAGAAAGAAGAGTGGACCATAATAAAATCAATCATTATATTTTAAAATCCAATCTAAAGAATAAATACAAGAGACTTCTAACTTTCCGTTTACCTGCAGGTAAAACCACAAAGAAAGTAATGACTCAAGACCACGACAAGCTACATACCTGGTTTACTAGAGCTTTCCAGTGTCAACGTATTGATGTCAAGTTCCTCAATATCTTTCCTTATAACAGAATGGCTGGAAAAAAAAAAACATAACACACATGTCTCTAAATTCTTTATGCTGGAAAACAGACTGACAGATGTAAACAAAGACATCCTGAATACAAAGTGGCTCAGGGAGAGGATCCTATACTTTGCTAAATAAGCGTTTATCAGAATTTCACAGATATCTGAATAGAAGGAAATATTCTCTTTGAACAGGTTTAAGTGCATCTAAAGCCAAAAAAAGGAAGGGAGGAAAACCCCCAAAGTGAAGGACACCTTCTTAGACTGTCATCAAATAAGTGTCCCCATTGAAAGATTAGATTTTTAGCCTTGTTAAATTAAAAATTTGGATTGTCTGTCCAGTAAGAGATTCTTTTGTACATTTTTCAACAGATAACTTCATCAAGGAAAACACTATACATTTCTGACACAATACTGTACAACTGTAAGTGCAATGTCTATTACTTTACTAGTTTGAGAGCCCAACACCAGCTAAATATTTGCAGATTTTGGACAGGGTGGAAAAGGATTAAAACCCAAGTGTTTAAAGCCATATGTGTTCCTATTGAAGCAATTTCTCCTCACCCCCAGGACCCCCGGCAAAGGAAGCGAGAGGAAATTGCCACAATGGGGGCAGACGCAGCAAAAAAACTCCTGTTTTAACTCGTCCCACACTGATCAAAAATAGAAAAAAGATTTTTGGCTAGAGCTCCACCTGATCATAGCTAACACCCACAAAAGGTACTTGATGTAATTAGCAGTAGGATAAACAATGCGCTCTCAGAACAGTGACATACGGCTTATCTACTGCTACTAGTAAAGGTTTACAGCCAATCTCTACTACAGATATAACATCAAAATCTCTTAACTATGCTAATCGTAGATCAAAGTAAACATGTTAAAAGCGTAGCCGTAGATGAACCATCTTGCAACTCAAATGAAACCAGGACAATCTAAAGAATTTAAAAGTGAACAGCTTGAAAGAAAAAATATATTCTGTCCTTCAAAATGCTAACCACACGGTGGCACCATTCTATTTGTAATGCCCAGCAAGCAGAAAGCACTTAAGCACTGGTTAAACACTGCAATCTGTTACATAATAAGCAGCTGTTTTGAGGCAATTAATACATCCAATTTTATCCCTCTAATACAGTAATATGCTTCAGGCATACAGAAGTTATTTCCTCCAATTACTATCCATGCAGTCTTGGCACCAACCTATAGTAGAGGTCTGCAAAAGTAACCCATAGACCTATCGGGGGTGCAGGCAGCAACTATGGAGTTAAATGTTCACACTCGGAAAAAAATGCGGATGTAAGATGAAAAAAAAAAATTGTCTGGGTGGTGGGTATAGCATAAGTCAGGGGTAGCCAAACCCCGGCCCTCAAACTGTGCCGAAACTACAAAATTGCATGATGCATCTCTCTCCAGGAGTCATGTCTGTGGCTGTGAGAATCTTGCAATGCCTCATGGGATTTGTAGTTCCACCACAGCTGGAGGGCTGGAGTTTGGCTACCCCTGGCATAAGTGATGCCACAGAGACCTGTGCAAGTTCCTAAGCCACAAAACAGCCCCTTTACTACTTGCGAAACGACAAATGACGGTAATCCCCATTCTTTCGCTTGCTGTTTCCCCTGCACTTGTGAGAACAAAAGTTCCACTATCACATATCGTTCAATTATCTCCACAGTAGACTTCTAGGAAAAATAAAGACCTATTATGTGCCCCATCAGAATACAGAATGTTCACTGTTCTAGTAGGAGATTATTAAAATTTTCAATGCATCACTAAATTTTCAATGCATCTCGCCTAAAGAACAAGAACGATTTGATTAAACATGTTTTTCTTCCAATTACTGTATACGGACACATTGTTTTGTGCTACTTTCCAAAAATCACTGTTTAAGTATATTTTTACTGCATTATACATTGTATAACACTCTGTTCATATCTGCTACTTCTCATCTAAAATAGACTTATGGCATGACACTTCTCAAACTATCTATAAACTTCTCTTGACCTTACATCTTCCTCTTCTCTGTCTAGATCTGGTATTCTTCCACTGCTGTATATTCACATTTCTATCTACGATTTCCTTACTTTTAGCCCATCTGATCTTACCCCCGTTTGAAACATGCTTTCTTGGTTTGCTTGACCATATGCTCCGATACCTTCCCCAATACCGGAACTTCCGGTCAGAGGAAGGGGAAAATGGAGCCAGCTGGGCGGCGAGTAATGACCTGATTGGCCGGGAAGCCTGTTTCCCAGCCTGATTGGCCGGGAAGCCTGTTTAAGTCAAACAGACTTAGGTAAAAATTGGAGGCTGAGCAAAAGAAAAAAAAAAAAAGGAAGTGGGGGGAAGTGGAGGCGGCAAAATCTGATGCAGCTGTGCATGGCAACCAATCAGCTTCTATCTTTTATTTTCAAATCTTAATTGAACTGAAGAGAGAAGCCGATTGGTTGCCATGCACTGCTGCTCCAGTTTAAGAAATTCCCCCCGGTGCGTTTTATCATTGCATCCCATATTTATGTGTAAACAAAAGTTGTGGTCCTGACGCAGGAAACAAAGCTTTTCCAGCAATGGTTCTGAGCAAGTTCAGGACAACATCAAGCTATTATAAATAATACAATACGATTCAGCAATTACATTTCCTGCCCGTTTTAGAAAACTTGCCCTCAGCTATGAGGAACTGACTCTTCTGTGCAGGTACTGCTGCAGCCGGTTCATGCAAGCATATATTTTGTTATCACTTGTGGCTACTCACAATTTAGCATCTGCGAACGATCGCACCAAACACTGGTCTTTTTTCACCGACGTTTCATCGCTGCAACTAGGTGACACCACCTAAGACAGGCAAAGAAAAAACAATAAAGTTCTGTTATTTTTCTTTGAAAACAAACTAGCCGACATCTTTGAAAAATACATTTATGTACAAAACATATCAGAGGGTCGAATGACATTTGAAATGGCCTAACTTACACACAGGATGTGGCTTCTCCATTCTGAACCAAAAGCCTGTTTAGCTACATGATGGTCGCTTGGTAAACTCAAAAGATGAATGTACATGGTGATCTCAACAAGAAAACCATTGGTGGCACTCCGCTCACTGTTATATGTGTACATGAAGTTTATATTGGTTGTATGCTCTCATTCTCATAGCACAACTTTAACAAAGAATTATTATAAAACCCTTGCAGAAGGGCTACCCCCACACTACAAGGGTCAACTGCTCATTTGTGTCTAGGGAGGAGAATAAAGTTATACTCACGTGGAGCCTCAGAGACGGCTTGCTCGGTCCCTGAAGCCTCTCACCCCCTCCGCTGCAGCAGTCTAAGGTCCCATAAATCATTGCACTCTATACACAGTGTATAGGACATGAGGATGCTGAGGGACAAACCATCGCTGCAAATTGGAGGGAGTGATGTCACAGCCAGCCAGCTCAGTAGATCAGGCACAAAATGAACAGTTAACACTTGCAGTGCAGGGGTAGCCCCACTACAATGGTTTATAAAAGTTTTCCCCAGAGTTCTGCTTCAAATATTTAAAAATGGCTTCTTACCTTTTCAGAGTTTCTAGAAACTCCAGGACTGAAAAATCCTGCATAGTCCTCACTGTTTGAGGGGGGTGGGGGGGTTGTTTGCCATAATTAATTCCATCTGTATTGAGCTGGCAGATTTCATGATCATTTGTTGACTAGATGAGCAGGACTGTCAGTGGCAACCACGGGTTAAAGATTTCAAGACAGTGTATGTTGCAAGAAACTGTCCCTCGACCACTACCACTAGAAGCTGCATGTAGTGTCCGATGTATAATCTGCTCCAAACAGTAAGATATATTTTTTTTTAAAATTATTTTCTGTAGATATATGTGTGAATGGGACCATGTAAAAATATGGGGGGGTCTCAAATTTGACTAATTGGAAATAGTTTAATAGGTATTTCCTGTAGTTGGTATTAAAGAGAATAAGTCATGACCTATGCAAGACTGAGACCATAAAGCCTTAAAAATCTATTTAAAGGAAATAAATTATATCTATATATATCTATATCTCCATCTATCTATATGATTAGCTTACCTATCCTTCGATATGCTGGCTGCATTCGTTTTATTTTATCAGGTGAAGTACATATATTGCAAGTACAGAAAAATACCTGTTGCTCCTGCCAGAAATCTTGCAGTCTTGTGACTTCCTGTACACTTACCTGAAATCTTAAACATTATCACCCTTCCAGTTTTCTTCCATGAATTACACACCACCTCCTCCCTCCCTATGTGTGCAAAAACCACTTGTTTCTACGTGTAAACGCGCTGTCACCTAGGTGTGAATGGAGCCAAAAGAAGAAGAGGAATATGATGCTGTGAAAGAACAGCTGTAGCCATGATGAGTGAAATATTTATCATACATGGTCCCATTTCATTCAGGGCTCATTCACACCAGCCAGCCACGCAGAACACACAGCTGGTGTTGTACTCTGGGAGGAACATTGCTACTGCACTGATCCAGGCGCATCACACTATCAGGTTTTTTTTTTTGGGGGGGTGGGGGTAAGAACTTTATTGAATGTTACAAGCAAAATTGAATTCAGTATTATTTACTACAGAAGCATTGCAACATACTGTCCTGAAAAAAAAGTACAGCATGCAGTACTGATTCTCCAGTGCACACCACCGCAATGCTCTGGTGTGAACTGACATTACAGACTTTTTGCCCTGTCTGTGCATTGGGAGTATGCCAACATGGCTCGAATGCATGTGGTGTGGACAAGCCCTGAATATGGCCTAACCTTGAACTAGTAAGAGCTTCATACCTCACCAGTCTGCAATGACATAGACCTGTTTCAATAAGCAGGCTTTTACATTTAACCCCTTCGTGACTGACGACGTACAGTGTACGTCGCCAGCATCGGGGCTGTTTAAACAGACTCCCGGCGACTTTTGCCGCCGGGACTCTGTTTAAACTTGTAGAGCCGACTGTCGGCTTTACAACAGAAGCGATCCTGGCGACTTACCATTAATTTTAATTCCAGTGAAAACCTGTGAACTCAATGCAGCTGAAAAGCTAGGAAGTTCAAATGGTGTATTTGAAATAACGAGATGCAATAAAAAAAAAAAAAAAATCCAGAAGCTCTTATTAATGGCCAAGTGGACCCTTCCGACCATGTTTCATGTTACACCCATATATAGGTTGCTACATGAAACACAGTCCCCCTGCACCCCCCCTTACCTGAATCATGAAGTTGTTCTCCCCACACGCTTGTGTACATATCTGAAGTTGATGCGGCTGTGCATGCCTCTGCCCACACAGCCTCGTCATCCATTCACAGATCCTTTGACAGGAACTGTGAATAGAGAAGTTAAAGATCCATCTGGCACCACAGCAGAGGAACATTTAGTTCTGAATGGAATACAAGTGCATTGAAATCACAGTCATTCTTCCTCCCAACCATGTTACTGTATGTCCGTATCTTGGTACACACAGAGAAAGGAGATGAGTCTGCAGTAGCCAGTAGCACTGGAACCACAATCAGCAGATTGCCGTTGCAATGCTTTACTGGCTCCAATGCAAAAAAAAAAGAATTCAAACGCACATTTATTTTCTTTTTACGACGCAGAGTGCAGTTATTATTCTTCATTACATAAAAAAACTCCCAGGGTAGCCAGAAAGCAGGCCCTTCGTTGAGGTGTCCACAGATAGTTTCACATACTTTGCAGGCCTCCCTGACAGCGCCAAAGTCTAGGTCACCCTATTTTGCGAATATTAGCTCTCCTTGAATTCCCTTTTTAAGCCGAGTATGCAAGATTCAAATGTTTCTTTCAGCCCACAGGCTGAACAAAAAATAATAATAATAATAATAATAATAATAATAATAATAATAATAAATAATAATAGAACAGGTTCCTCCATCAACGCTTACGAGTGTGATGGATGAATCCCCCGCAGTCTGCATTGCATTCTGCCTGTGGCCACAAACTAATTGGTTGCTAGCTCCACTCGGCTCAACATTTCCCAACCAGCTACATCGATCTGATCAAGGGATGCTGGTAGGAAAAGTGCCAACAGCGGCATCCACTGTGCAGATTTTGGCCTGTTCATAGGCGATTGGCCGAAAATCGTCCCATGCATACCTTACTTTAGCCTCACAGGCCTAACATCACAATATTCCAGTTGTAAGAAACAGAATCTGTATAAATTGGTCCAATATTGTGATGGTGGATTTCACTGCCCTTTAAATCAGGCCCAATAAATAAAGGGGTGGGCTAAAACTTCAAGAATCAAAAGTACTCCTGTCACAAGAGAAAAGTGGGGGCTGCCATCGCTGGACTACTTCTGCAAATACCATTTGCCTGGCTGCATGAGGCTTGATTCTTCATTAAATCAACACGAGAACAAACATCTAAAGAGGTCAGTAGTGATAGCCTTCATAATTTACTTGTGCAAAGCAAACAAAGCAAGCGAGCACCTCTTTCTATGCTGGCAATTAACTAGCCTCAAAGCGCGCACAAGCATACTGCAAGTAGATATTCATCTCCATCAGAGACCAGAAAACTCACTACATTTAAAACGTTCTGGACCCTAAACCATTTAAAAGCTGGGTGGATGTCGGCCTGTACTTCTGACACATCTAACAGAAGCACCAGCAAAAAGATCTCTACAAAAACAAAAAGTTCTCAGCCATCCCCACCTGCTGCAGAAGGTCCAAGTCAGCATGGTGCACCATTAATTAACTACATGTTAAAAGTACATCTAACGCTATTTTGTTTTGTTTAGAATACGAACCCCATGTCCCATTGGGGAGATATCCCTTCACTTTCTGTCTGGTAGACAAAACAGGAAATGATAGGTCATCTCTGCAGTGAGCGGAGTCCTCTCAGACGTTCATCAACGCTACAAGTGTTCCCATTGGTAGACTTTATTCTGGTCTGTGGTCACCTCAAAATTTTACCTTACTTTCAGTCCTAGGAACAATGGTCATTGGGATGAATGAAAGGGTAAACCTCCCCAGTAGGGTAACAGACCAAAAAAATTATCTGATGGCAGTTCCAACATTTCCATACCAAATTAAAAAAAGTTTGCTTTAGATTCCTTCCTTCTGCAACAGGAAAAGGGAAATTAAGAAGTGAACAGAAGCAGCAGAAGATTATATTGTAAGAGCTCACGGCTTGAGCCCCCGAGAGGTAAGAGGTCAGTGGGTATATAAAAAAGGTGAACTCCAAGGTACAAAAAAAAATATTTTAGAACCGGACCGTAAAAATAATAGGAGCCAGGTAGACAATGCTTCTTAAAAAAGATGGCAACTAACTTCTGAGGTTCTCTCTAGTTGTTGCCAATAGAGCTGCCTCCTAAGCTCCTGCTGGCTCATGAATTGAACAGACTTGCTCCTGACTAATATTAAATGTGTCTACCCCCGACACACGTAAATAAGGTAACCCTAAGACCCCATTCACACTGAGCTACATCAGCGCTGATTTGAGCTGAGCGACTTTGAGACACATTAAACTACAGTGCACATATTGTCGTGCTACGCAGCGCTACTTTTGGCATGGACTTCGTAGCTGCTAAATTGGGCTGTATCCAATCAAAAAAGTCTTGATGTAACATAATTCCTCTCCCCGTTTCCTGCTTATATTTCTGTGCAAAAGGGACACTTCTGTCACTTGAGCTACACCATTGAAGTCTATTGGCCAAATCGCACAAAATATGCCGAAAAATAGGTCATGTTCAAGCGACAAGCTTGAGCTACAAGCGACATTGAGCTGTGAGATGTGAGCAGCTCCATCAAAAGGCATTGGATAAGCTACATTGAGCTGATGTTTGAGCGAGTTTTGAGCTGAAATTGCGCTACAAATCGCTCAGTGTGAATGGGGTCTTATAATTAGACTAGGAGGAGGACGATGAATGCTGCTTACTATGACTGATGCAGGGTACTACTTACAGCGCTGTATTTCTGGCGCTGCAGGGATGAATGATGCGTCTGTGACAGTGAAGGGCTCCAATCTCATCCCTGCCCCCTTGTCCAATCACAAAAAAGCACATAATACTGTACAGTACGATATGTGCTAAAAAGCACACAAAAAAGCTTCACAGCAAGTGTGCACAGGTCTGTCTGCGACTAGAGGAAGTCACGACCACGTGTCAGAGCGTGGAAGAAGACCGCAGTCGTGTTCGTCCCCCGATGTGGAGTTCGCGAACGAAAGCAAAATTTTGCCGAAACGAATTGTTCACGAACAGAAGCTTCCGTGAACCGAGGTATTAATGTACAAGGCTTTCTCTTACTGGGTAAGGGGAGAGGAGGCAAGAATGTGACTAGGGCCATTCACTGTCGCAGCCACATCTCTCATCCCTACAGCACTAGAAATACAGTGCTGCAAGTAGTATCTGGCTTCAATCATACTAAGCAGAATTCATACTTCTACTATACTCATTAGGGGGAACTTACTTTACTAGCCCCGTTTCTAAAATATTTTCCAACAAGGCTCAGCTTTAAAGACATCAGCTTCCAGTCATAAAGCTCAGTTTTGCGATGCAGAAAGTATAGGCAATATGGGGACTATTGGTAAAGGTTTTCACCCATTGCATTCAATTGGAAAAATGTGAGAATCTTGGGTGAAAAAAAAAAATGACAACTAGACCCCTTATTATTGTGCACATTTTATTCAATGCACTTGCCTGCTCTGCCCTCCACACACAATAGTAGTCACTTTTTCCTCCTCTCAGCTGAAACAAAATAAAATGTCAGCTGGGTTGAGATCGGCTTTAATTTCCCACTCAACCTTGATAAATAGGCTTTTTCCAGATAATTCCTGACAAAAGAAAGCAAAGCAGTCTGGGAATAAAAAGCCAAGCTATGTACTCCAAAACCACTATGCTGAGGCTGCCAAGGGACAGGTGCCAAGCCAACTTCAACAACTCAATAATCACTGCAAAGCGTTTCCACAAACGATCAGGAGCTCAGACGTAAACGTACATTCGTCTCATTGCAGGGCTGATCAAGAGCATTTAGGGAATTTGTCAAATATCACGGTGGCAGATATATCCATAAAACAGAACACAAAAGGCCAAAGTTATAAATCACACACCTAACACAGAATATCTTCTCCTACGTGGAGCCAGCGGTCAGATTTCAGACCTTTAAAGCCATCTGGTATGAATAGGGAGATGCAGATTTAAATAAATAAAAAAAAAGGGTGCAGGTCCCAGGGCTGCCATCTGATCCCAACGTCACCACCTAGTAAGTCTCTGACGCAGAACAAGCTTACAGCCAGTGAAGTATGAAAACAACTGATGTCCCTGTTCACAGCATACTAGTGTGGGAAAAAAGGAAGTATGCTATATTTTTATGCAGTGGAATGCACAAAAACGTATCAATGCAAAATAATTATCTAGCCACAACAGGAAAAGGAAGTGATGTCAGAGAAAATAGTAGGGGGAAGCCAAAAATTATGTTAAAAAACCCCATGTCAACAGAGAAAAATATGTTAGAAAATCACATGTAAATGTGCATGTGTTTTCTGTTTGTTGTGAACTAGGGATGCACCGATACCGGTATAGAGTACCAATATTTGTTTTTTCCGGCACTCGCCGATACCGAAAGTCCCATTCAGGAAGCCAGGCAGCGTGTAATGATTCGCCACCTGGCTTCCCGATTAGCCGGGAAGCCGTCTCCATGCTTCTCGTCACTAGGTGACAAGAAAGCATGGAGCTGGCTTTCTGACAAATCAGGAAGCTGGGCGCTGTGTAATGACGCGGCGCACAGCTTCCTGGTTGGCCTGGAAGCATGGAGCTGGCTTTCTGACCAATCAGGAAGCCGGGCGCTGTGTAATGACGCGGCGCACAGCTTCCTGGTTGGCCTGGAAGCCAGCTCAATGCTCCCTCGTCAGGATATCCTTACACGGTGCCTGGCTTCCTGAATGGGACTTCCGTTACTCGGTATTGGCGAGTACTGAAGAAAAAAAAGTAACGGAAGTATTGGGCTAGGCTTTGGAGTATTTGGGAGAGTACAAGTACTCCCCCAAATACTCGGCATTGGCACCGATACTAGTATCAGTATCGGTGCATCAATAGTGTAAACAAGCCCTAACTTTGACCCTTACCAATGACAGCTCAACAGGTTTCTTTACACCAACCTCAGCATAATCTACAATTATAAGCCTAGCCAGTATGGTAATCAGAGCAAAACTTGGAAATATGAATAAAGTAGCCACCGCTCCAAGCTCACTCCTGTGATGGGACTACAATCTCACGTTTAGTTTAATCATTTGTAGTGAGATTGTAGTCCATCACAGGAGTGAGCTTGGAGCGGTGGCTACTTTACAACACACACAGGGACCATGGGGAACAAAAGTGGCCACCCTCCAGAAGGAAGGACAGTGTCAGCGCCAATTCAGAGATGATTTGAAGATCTATAGCCGAGTGATACACAAATAAGACACATTTTTATTAATAGTTAAGGTACTTGAAAGCATTTTCAAGGTTTAACTCCTGAATTTAGTGTCACTGTTAGTGTCCATCTGGCGAAACTTTGTAAAGCCATCACAGTTAGGCAAAGCAAAACCTTGCGACTGGGCAGCCCAGTGATACAAAAAGCCAACATGTGTAGCAAAACCAATATGGTTAGGGAGGGCTTCAAAGCCAATTAAACTAAATTTAAGAGAGAACTATGGGGTGAGTGTTTTTCTCCATAGTTCGCTTTAGGGTCACGGGAGGTCACATAGAAACCTCGTCCCGTGACCCAAGCACCGCATCCGGGGCGGATCCCGACAATAGTCAAGATCCACCCAGCTGCGTGAGTGACAGCGGGCTCTGCCTATCTAGAGGCAGAGCCCCCTGTGCCCACCCGTGTTCCTTCCTCTATTCGTCACTGCAGGGAGATGATCGGGAAGTAAACGGATCGGTGGCATGTTTCTGCTCACTTCCTAAGCTATAGAGCCGACCTGTGACAGCTTCTTTGTCACAGGTCGGCTCGAACTATGAGGATGAGTGGAAATCACTCACCACATAGTTCTCCTTTAGGCCCCATTCACACACAATCCGGCCTGCACGTACAGCTCTGTGCTGCATGCGGGGCCGTACCAAGTAGCTGCCGGGAAGGACAGGTGCTGCGTGTGATTAGAACGCAGCCCCCGTCCTTCTCTATGGGGCTACGCGGCCGTAAGCCCCCCTACGCTCAGCTCATTTGCAGGTCCGTAGGGGTGCGGGTGACCGTATTCATACACCGCCGGAATGGATCCTGTATGCGTCCCGGCCAGAAAACCCGCACCCCTACGGACCTGCAAATGAGATGAGCGTAGGGGGGCGTACGGCCGCGTAGCCCCATAGAGAATGACGGGGGCTGCGTTTTAATCACATGCAGCACCTGTCCTTCCCGGCAGCTACTTGGTATGGCCACGCACGCAGCACGGAGCTGTACGTGCAAGCCGATTCGTGTGTGAATGGGGCCTTAAGAAAAACTTCATACTAGGAAAATATTAGTTTTAGTTATAGTTATAAAACCAAACTAGTTTTAAAGCAGAGCTACAGCCAAGACTCACTTCCAATCTTAAATGCTGCCTGTGTCCCCAGTGTGAAGATTTCCTCTTGCTTCCAGTTCCAGAGACATGACAGGAAGAAACGTCACTACATGACATGAAGTTCCACCTTTGGCAGCTATCACCAGAACAACTTGGACTTTGGAACCTTTTCCTTGCCTCCTCTTTTTGTGAAAGCTTATTTCCCCATATTTCTGTTCTGATAACCACAGTGGCCAAGAGTGGAAATCTCACAAATGGGGGACACAGGAAAGCAATTAAAGCAGACCGGTGTCCAAACCCTCCCCCTGTTTGTTCACAACCCAAAGAAAAAAAAAAAAAAAGAAAAATTACTCTGTAAAATAAGTTACAGTCATTCACATCTGATTCAGAAAAGTACATTTCTTTGGGAAGAGCTTTTCCCCGGACACAAAACAAGCACAAGTTCAATCTTATTCGGAATCATATTGATCTGAATACATGCATGCATTAAAACCTTTTGTCCTTAAAAACATTACAATTTAGGAGCACAAGACAGTTTCCTGTCCAATAGCTTTGTGTGTAAAACTGAAAGGTGTCCTTGTTAGTCAGCTTCCACTGTAAAACTGTTTAATTCTGATGGCAAAACGAACTAAACATTAACAAATCTGCGTTATAAATGTGTACAGTGCTACTGCCCAGTGAGGAGCAGAGATGATGACTGGTACTCACCACAGCAGGATAACACTCTTTCGTCAAGCTGCAGTTGACAGTGACTACTTTTCCCAGTAATTCATCTCCAATGCGTTTCACATCATCTTCTTCCTCTTCACTGCTGCTGTCTTCTTTCTCATCTTCCGTCCTATCAGGAGAAGAAAAGACGGCAAACACTGTTTAAAATCATGTCCGGGAAACTAGAACATCTGGCTGCTACACAAGCTCTGTTGAGGCTCCCTGACACTTAAGGCAAAACATGAAAATCAACATTTAAATATATAGTGGAAAAATATTTCTTAAGGCCGCATTCACTCTTGCAATGTCAATGCAGCGTTTAGACCAGGGGTAGTAAACCTCCGGCCCTCAAGCTGCGGTGGAACTACAAATCCCATGAGGCATTGCAAGATTCTCACAGCCACAGACATGACTCCCGTAGAGAGATGCATCATGGGATTTGTAGTTTCACCACAGCTGGAGGGCGGGAGGTTTGCTACCCCTGGTTTAGACTGTACAGGGGGAATTTATCAAAACTGGAGCAGACAAAATCTGGATCAGCTGTGCATGGCAACCAATCAGCTTCTCGGTCTCATTTTGTTTGCTCAGGTAAGATTTGAAAAGAGATGCCGATTGGTTGCCGTGGGCAACTGCTCCAGAATGTGTCTGCTCCAGTTCTGATAAATTCCCCACACATGTTTAAAACAAGTTTAATCTAAAAAGCATATAAATACACCTCTATTGACTTTTAGTGTAGATCTTGTAGGTAGAGGCAATTCAGACTAGATAGAGGTTTACCTGCGTTTAGGGCCGTTCAGTTTAGGTACATTTAGAGAAAAAACAGAATTCATTGCATCTAGAATCCGTTTAGAAACTCTAAATGCAGATATAAACACGGCAAAATGCGCTCTAAAGCAGGAACATAGGAAATAGTGATTAAATAAGAGCTTTGCCCGCACTGCAAGAGTTAAAGTGACATTAAAGTCAAAAATACCCCTCCCCCCCCATGCTAGTGCAAGGACTTACCTTAACCAGTTGACATCCGCGGTGTTAAACCCAGATTCCTCTTGATCTGATCATCTTGTCCCTTCCACTTGTATTCAGCAATCTCTACAGCACTGGTACCGCTCTCTGATCCAGCGCAGACTCCTGTCTCTCCCGGTCCCATGGTGTCTGTCCAGCGTGCATGCTCGCGGCTGCGTGCATAGACTTACAGCGAGTCTAGCCTCTTCCCCCCGCTGAAGCACGGTACTGTGCATGCGCCCGCCCTATCATGCCGCTTGAGAATCTTCAGATCTTTGGACGGGAGCGAGCGGCAGAGACAGAGGTAAAGTAATAACCTTTTTGGTAATTTAAAAATATTGTTTAACTAATTAATGGAAGATGATTTCATATTAGTATGCAGAGCTGCATGCTGATGTGATTTTTAGTGAAAGGGGGTATATTATTTTGTTAGTCCAATATATATAAAATTTCTGTCAGTGTCCTTATGATGATGCCGATTAAGTATCTCCTGCCAAAAAGGTTCTGTGTATTGTGACTATTGCTGGCCCTGCAATTTTCATGACTCGTACATTTTGCTCGTGTGCATAAAAGGTTTGGAAAGGTTACAACGATGATGTAATATGATCTCTGATGCTCCAGCTAATAATGTGGGGTTTTTTTTTTCTTGGTTTTTTTTTCACCTCCCCAAGAGACTAGGAAATTCCAGTCCACTATACGGTGTGCATGTGTCAGCTACTGTTTAATTACAATGTTGCCATGACAATTATTCCCTTGTCTACTGAAGCCCATTATATTCCATGTAATTATAGTTTGTTGCCAGTTATCATTTTTGGAATTCGCTTGTACTTGTAGCACACCCCTTCTTTTTTGTTTTTTTGGCAAGTGGCGAAATGGTTAGGCCTGTGGTCTTATGATGCAAGTGTGTCATCCTGCTGAGCTTTCTGCCCTAAACCCCCACCAAAAAAAAAATCATATCTGCAGGGGAATTGCCTTCTGTGCAGCTTGTTCTTGTGTGCTTAATTAATAACTCAGGTGAGTTATGATCCGGTGGAGATGAGAGCTGTCCTGATTTGTGTTCTCTGTGAAGAGCTGCATAATGGCATTTCTATATACTTTCAAATTGCTTTGCTTATAGTTAGGCAAATATTCAGAAATGTTTAAGTAGTTGAAAGTTTTTGCTTGTAATTTATAGCATTGCTTGAAGCTAAAGCAGAACTCCAGGAATTTTGTATTAACCCTTTTATTGGGGCTACCCCCTCACTGCAAGGGTTAACTGCTCATATGTGTCTAAGTTAAAAAACAAAGATATGCTCACACAAAGCTCCAAGCCGGCTTCTTCTTAGACCGGTTCCTGCAATGTCTCTTTCCCTTTGCAGCGGTCTAAGGTTCAGTAAATCCCCACATCTATTCACTATTCATAGATGTGAGGATGCTGAGGAACATTCCAATGTGCTGCGGAGGATAAGACAGGTTAGAAGGAGTGCCATGACAGCTGGCCACCTCGGAGCTTTAGGTGAGTATATCATTGTTATTTTAACACCTAGACACAAACGAGCATTTAAAGTACAATTAAACTCTCTTTTTATTTGCATATATCTGCTGATGGCAAGCAATAGACATATGCAAAAACATTTTTTTTTTTCTTTTACTTACAATTATTGTTTTTGCGCTTCCTGGTCCTCTTGGCCATTAGTCATGTAATGTGCCCAAGCCTTGCAGTCTGGGAAGGATACATCAGCAGAGCATTGTAATCTCATGAGATTTCAGGGAAAGGTTTTTTCCTGCCCTGAGATGATGTGCATGGTAACATGTCCTAGTCACGTGTGCCAGAGTTCCAGGAAGTAAAGGGAGATTATTAATCTGCCCTTAATTAAAAAAAAAGGCCATTTTTAAAAGAATGGGGAGGAAAATAAAAATTAGGTATGCAAAGAATAAAAAGCCGGCAATTATCTAGAAGTATCGGTTTGTAGATTGTCATTACTAAACATTTCTAAAGATGTGTGTGTTGTCATTTCAAAGACATGGCTCTTTAAAAGCAGTTGCAGTACACGAAAAGCTACATGTGACACAATATAAAATTGTATAAGACACATACTGAATTCTCTGGCTTTTCAATACACACATAGGAGTACTGACAGCGAAAGCATATGACAGTAAACAGATCCTGTAGATACAACAGTCATGTATCATGTCTGCAAGGAAGAGTTTTGCAGGAGTTACCACAACACAACTGTCATTGAATCGTTGCCTGTGTACCAATCAGTAAAATGTCTCCTCAGTTCCCATATGGTCACTTGGAAAGGAAGAGTGAAACATCCCAAGTGCGAAACTGAACAGCAGTAAGAACCTGATGGACAACTTAATGCAAAAAGTTTAACTGTTTCAACAGTTTAACTTTACGTAAATTCATCTTAAGCAAATTATATATTCTATAATTCATCTTATATTATAATTAATCTTAACCAAAAAATATTTTAAAAGATCTGGGCGAGGTTTTGAAGTGTTAGGAACATTAAAAATAGGAGTGCTAATGGTAATAAAATGTACCGAAATCAAGAGCAACCTAAAGCCCAACTCCAACCAAAAAATGTTTTAGTTTTGAAGTGTGGGAAAGTCTACGTTTCTGTCAGGTCATTTTTGGTGGGTACCCGGTTAGGGAAATTTACCTGCCAACGATCTGTACCTCTTTACGGGTCAGACTGACCACCAAACGAGATGCGTGTGATTAGCCGGACAACATGCAAGCATCCAGAATGACAAACAAAGCTGACTAAACTCACACTGGAAGGGACGACCGTCTTCCCCTGTTGGATTTCTTCCCAATGACCGGAGTGCCAAAATGTTCAGGATTGGTTAGCGGAAGCTGGTCTAAAGTCTATTCAACAGAGATGTAGAAATGTCAACAAATCTTCCCATTACCACATGTAGCAAGCAGAAGAGAATGTCATTAGCCTTACCTCACTCTCTGCAAAGTGCCTCTCCCCCTTTAAACATAAAGATGTCCGTCTTAAAGTCCTTTCATCGCCATCATCAAACACTGAAAAACAATAAAACACATTTTACATTTAAAAACAAGCTTCCCAGATTACTGCACACTGGGAGCCTATTCATACTAAGGCGATCTGTCCCACATGGCAAAATAGCAAAAAGTTTCCAGGCATACTCACCAGCCAGCATGCAAAAAAACCTTTCTAACCACTAAGGTTAAAAGCAGTGGTTTAGATGCACGTCTATCCAACGTGTATCTAAACCTCTGCTTTTAACCTTAGTGGTTAGAAAGGTTTTTTTGCATGCTGGCTGGTGAGTGTGCCTGGAAACTTTTTGCTATGTTACTGTTTGAAGCCCTTCCGTGTGCACCTTGCTATAAAGCTGGTAATTAATTGATGAGTGCGTTTGCCATTTGTTTTGCTTGACTGATTTGGTGCAGTGACGCATGGGGGATCTCAGCTGCCGTTGTGATGTGCGGGGTCCCTTTTGCGTACATGTGCCTTTAAGGGAGGTTGGGCTTCCCCCTGACAAAACTTCACCCAATTTAATCTTTTGCCCCATGTGCTCTAAGATGGAGACTCTCATAGTTTAGAGTTAGAACCGCACTATATAGAGGTGCCTTGACGTGGCTGTGCAGCTTTCACATTTTCTGCAGAAGACGTGTATCTAAACCTCTGCTTTTAACCTTAATGGTTAGAAAGGTTTTTTGCATGCTGGCTGGTGAGAGTGCTGGGAAACTTTTTGCTCTTTTACTGTTTGAAGCTCTTTCGTGTGCACCTTGCTGTAAAGCTGATAACGAATGGATGAGTGCGTTTGCCATTTGTTTTGCTTGACTGTCCCACATGGCAACGCATGTTGCCTTAAGGCAGCCCATTCATTATAAATGGGATGCCAACACATGACAAACGGAAAAAACGTACATGACCCCTTTTCAAAACTCCGCTCAGGTCTTGCCTTGTGGTATGCTGCAATGCGTTGCATTACAGTGCATTGGGCTGCCATTCACACGTAGGAGTTTTGGCATGCATTGTGGCAGAATGCGTTGCTGCCGTGTACAAGTATGAATTGGCCCAGAAGGTGGCCCGATATGGAAAGTAAACAAAGAATTTAGAAAATTCATTGAGAAAATCACTTAGAAAACTTCACACCAAGGCTGGGTCACATATCTCCGGGTATTTCACCAATTGCAGTTATTATGTGTCTGGAAGTTTTGCCAAAGGTTCCGGATTTTTTTTTTTATGCACTACATTAGGATGTTGATATGTGATCATTGCCTAACTGCACCATTAATCTGCAGAATGAGGCCAGGGTAATGTAAAGCAATATGTTGGTGTACCTATGCTAAATGATAGATTGGTGTGGAAAACATACAATTGGCCAAAATCAACAATTTTCACATCAGGGTCTAACTTGAGGTTTAGCTGGCACATTCTTCCTTACCCGTAGACAGATGTAATCATTTTACTTTCATTTTGTGGGGATGCAGTTCACATATTTCTCATACCAATACAAACCCAGAGAGTCATTATAAGATAAGCTGAGCACGTTGTGATTTTTCTATGTTCAAAGCCCATGTTATCAAAGTTTAGTACTGCAATGACGTTTCTGTAAGACACAGCGCCGATCTGGGTGCTCAAATATTTAGCATAGAATGATACTCACCCACTGTGTACCAGCTGGCATCTGTCAGCTTACTTATAAGCTGACTAAACTCACACTGGAAGGGACGACCGTCTTCCCCTGTTGGATTTCTTCCCAATGACCGGAGTGCCAAAATGTTCAGGATTGGTTAGCGGAAGCTGGTCTAAAGTCTATTCAACAGAGGTGTAGAAATGTCAACAAATCTTCCCATTACCACATGTAGCAAGCAGAAGAGAATGTCATTAGCCTTACCTCACTCTCTGCAAAGTGCCTCTCCCCCTTTAAACATAAAGATGTCCGTCTTAAAGTCCTTTCATCGCCATCATCAAACACTGAAAAACAATAAAACACATTTTACATTTAAAAACAAGCTTCCCAGATTACTGCACACTGGGAGCCTATTCATACTAAGGCGATCTGTCCCACATGGCAAAATAGCAAAAAGTTTCCAGGCATACTCACCAGCCAGCATGCAAAAAAACCTTTCTAACCACTAAGGTTAAAAGCAGTGGTTTAGATGCACGTCTATCCAACGTGTATCTAAACCTCTGCTTTTAACCTTAGTGGTTAGAAAGGTTTTTTTGCATGCTGGCTGGTGAGTGTGCCTGGAAACTTTTTGCTATGTTACTGTTTGAAGCCCTTCCGTGTGCACCTTGCTATAAAGCTGGTAATTAATTGATGAGTGCGTTTGCCATTTGTTTTGCTTGACTGATTTGGTGCAGTGACGCATGGGGGATCTCAGCTGCCGTTGTGATGTGCGGGGTCCCTTTTGCGTACATGTGCCTTTAAGGGAGGTTGGGCTTCCCCCTGACAAAACTTCACCCAATTTAATCTTTTGCCCCATGTGCTCTAAGATGGAGACTCTCATAGTTTAGAGTTAGAACCGCACTATATAGAGGTGCCTTGACGTGGCTGTGCAGCTTTCACATTTTCTGCAGAAGACGTGTATCTAAACCTCTGCTTTTAACCTTAATGGTTAGAAAGGTTTTTTGCATGCTGGCTGGTGAGAGTGCTGGGAAACTTTTTGCTCTTTTACTGTTTGAAGCTCTTTCGTGTGCACCTTGCTGTAAAGCTGATAACGAATGGATGAGTGCGTTTGCCATTTGTTTTGCTTGACTGTCCCACATGGCAACGCATGTTGCCTTAAGGCAGCCCATTCATTATAAATGGGATGCCAACACATGACAAACGGAAAAAACGTACATGACCCCTTTTCAAAACTCCGCTCAGGTCTTGCCTTGTGGTATGCTGCAATGCGTTGCATTACAGTGCATTGGGCTGCCATTCACACGTAGGAGTTTTGGCATGCATTGTGGCAGAATGCGTTGCTGCCGTGTACAAGTATGAATTGGCCCAGAAGGTGGCCCGATATGGAAAGTAAACAAAGAATTTAGAAAATTCATTGAGAAAATCACTTAGAAAACTTCACACCAAGGCTGGGTCACATATCTCCGGGTATTTCACCAATTGCAGTTATTATGTGTCTGGAAGTTTTGCCAAAGGTTCCGGATTTTTTTTTTTATGCACTACATTAGGATGTTGATATGTGATCATTGCCTAACTGCACCATTAATCTGCAGAATGAGGCCAGGGTAATGTAAAGCAATATGTTGGTGTACCTATGCTAAATGATAGATTGGTGTGGAAAACATACAATTGGCCAAAATCAACAATTTTCACATCAGGGTCTAACTTGAGGTTTAGCTGGCACATTCTTCCTTACCCGTAGACAGATGTAATCATTTTACTTTCATTTTGTGGGGATGCAGTTCACATATTTCTCATACCAATACAAACCCAGAGAGTCATTATAAGATAAGCTGAGCACGTTGTGATTTTTCTATGTTCAAAGCCCATGTTATCAAAGTTTAGTACTGCAATGACGTTTCTGTAAGACACAGCGCCGATCTGGGTGCTCAAATATTTAGCATAGAATGATACTCACCCACTGTGTACCAGCTGGCATCTGTCAGCTTACTTATAACTGCTTCCTGCAGGGATCCATCAGGTGCTTTCATTTCCACTGTAGCTCCAACCTACATACAGAGAGTCCACAATCAACATGACAGAATCTCCAAAAATTGACAGAATCACATTAGACCACATTTACCAAATCTTAAACGCTTCCTGGCCCCGATGACTTCCTCCAGCAATTCTACCAAGGCATATACTTTATCTATATTATTGCAAGTGCATTGGAGCCCAGTAAGGATAAATGCACTTAAAAAGGATAACTATGGGGTTAGTGCTTTTCCCCATAGTTCTCCCCAGGGTTATGGGAGGACACAAACTAGCGTCCTCCCGTGACCCAAAGCTCAGTATACCGCGAGATACAGCTTGCGGTATACTGAGACCGCCGCAGCCAGGACGGATCCCGACATTACTGTCGAGATCCACCCAGCTGTGTGATTGACAGCTGGCTCTGCCTATCTAGAGGCAGAGCCAGCTGTACCCGCCCCCCCCACCGTCCGTTCCGCCAGTCATCGCTGGAGGATCGGGGGGATCCCTGCAGGGAGCCGTGAGTGACAGTCACGGCTCTCTGCAGGGACATGATCCAGAAGTGAGCGACAGTAGGTGTTCTCTCACTTCCCGATCCATTGAGCTGACATGTGACAGTTTCATCGTCACACGCCAGCTCGAACTATGAGGCTGAGTGATTTTCACTCCCTCATAGTTTTTTAAGTTTTAAAGCTGAAATTCAGGGTTAATCCAAAAGTTATTGCAGAAGGGATGTCCCACTGCAAAGAAAATGTTGAGTTTCCCCCAGAGTTCCATTTTAAGAAACAATTAAAATTTTGCGGATATGCAATTCAGCTGATTTCCTAAACCATTCAAGCAGAACAATTTAATGTCTATGCTGGCCCTGTGGCAAGATCATTGGCCTTTAAAAAAATCATGGTGTGTCTATGCCGGTGCCACCACTGCATCATCATAAAGCACACAGATAGGCAGAGCCAGCTGTCAATCACACAGCTGGGTGGATCTCGACAGTAATGTCGGGATCCGTCCTGGCTGCGGCGGTCTCAGTATACCGCAAGCTGTATCTCGCGGTATACTGAGCTTTGGGTCACGGGAGGACGCTAGTTTGTGTCCTCCCATAACCCTGGGGAGAACTATGGGGAAAAGCACTAACCCCATAGTTATCCTTTTTAAGTGCATTTATCCTTACTGGGCTCCAATGTATAAAGCACACAATGAAAAGCTAGTATGGGTTTACGGAAATGGAGGTTTGTTGTTTGTGCCTGCTCTGCTGTATAATTACCAGCAGTCAGTGGAAATCATGACAATGCAGCGCTGGGGGTTGGCATAGACACATAAATGATATATAAAAACACAATATAGTACCGATTCATACAGGTACAGTTATAGTTATACGCACACCCACACATTTGTCTTCCTAATGTCACGGTGCCTATGCACTCTTGTTCTGTAACATAATAGCTCCAGTGTGAGATCTAGCCCACTGCTGCCTTTAACTTCTAGTCTCAAGATTTGGTGATGTCACTACTGTGCGGAACTCAATACTTGCTGCAGAGAAAGCTGTTCCTGAGGACCTGCAGTGTATGCATTCCTGTGCTTCTGCCTCTTCCGACATAAGGAAGCAAAGCTCTGGTCCTCTACCAAGATGGCTTCATCCACACAGAGACAAAAAGGTGAATCAAGGCATGACTGGGGAAAAGATCAGATGCAGGGAACCTACAGGCAATAAATTATGACTAGTCCTTGATTTTTGGGCACATCTTCCACACTACAAGTCTGATTTAATTCTGTATGTGCCCTTGCTTAGTCGTGACATGCTGAGGAAAACATTTTTGGGGGGAAAACAACCCCATAGAGTTTATGGCCATCATTTCCCAGTAGTGAACACCAAAGCGGTGTATAAATAACCACAATACATATAAGATGCAGTTCACCCTCTGCTTAAATTAGCCCTAATAGAAGACCCTACAAACTACAAGCTTTATCTTCTTTGAATGCACTGGCTCTTGAGGGTATTCAA